CTCCTTTACAGCACTCATGATTGTAAAAAAGTATTTCAGACTACCTCTGCTATCCACCAATTTACAGCCGGCTCATGAGGCTGCAGGCATATCACAACAGACTGACTGGCCTGCTTTATTTCTGGTGGAGCTCACCTTACAAGCAGTGTAATCCTGAGCTGTGCATTGTAGTCATGGGTGCCATGAGTTTCTAAAAGTGAGATGTATGCTCTGGCAAGTATCATTGTATTTATTGTTAGAGACAAAGGTACACAGACTTTTGAATTTCTGGGGCTGGGTAAAGAATGAACGGTAGTCTGTCCCTTTCTGACAATCTAGGTCAACTTGGATTTTACCTCAGTGTTCCGCTTCATGGGATCGGTTCTTTCCCAAGAGCTTTTTGGGCCCACAGAAGAGCTACAGTGTGGTTCCTGCCCTGTTCATTTTCCTGATACGCTGCACATGTCTGTGTCCCAGGGATGGGCATGGAATAGACACAAGCTGATATCTCTTACATGGCTGTTCCTAAATTACTCATTTAAGATCATTCTGAGAGAGAGAGAGAGAGAGAGAGAGAATGTGAAAGAGAGAGGGAGAGGGAGAGAGGTTATGAGGTAGAAATAGTATCTATATGGTTTAACCACTGAGACTATGGATAAAAGTATTTTTACACATGAGATGACTAGACATGCCTGGTAAATCCCCAGTCTTCCCTCTCACCCCCCTTCCTCTCCCACCTGATGAATCTGCCTTATTCCTGACACCGGTACTTGTTCCTACTGGTCTCATCCGTACTCAGTCTTCGGCTTCCTTCCTGTTCCTTTGGATGTACTGGAAGCTTTCTTTTCTTTTTTCTGGCTTCTTGTTCCTCTTGCTTGAGACAGTATCTTCCCCTAGTACTGTCTTGCTACCATCACCCTGTGAATAAGCTATTGTTTGCTCATATTTAAAAACCTTCTTCTTCTTCTTCTTCTTCTTCTTCTTCTTCTTCTTCTTCTTCTTCTTCTTCTTCTTCTTCTTCTTCTTCCTCTTCTTCAATTGTGCTCTCACCTCTCCTTCAAAACAAAACTCCTCCAAAGGTTTGCCTCTCATCAGTCTCTACTTGCGCTCTTGTCATCATCTTCTAAGTCGGTTCCATTCAGCTCTCACCTCCCTAGAACTCTAATGTAGCTAAATTCTGTTACCCATTTTTAGTCCTCATCTTACCTGATGTGCTGCCCATACTCGGCAGAATGGAAGGCCTTCTTTCATGCAAGACTCCACTTTGGTTCTCCTTTCTCTTGGATTCTCTCCTGCCTTTTCACTGTCCTTTTTCTGACCCCCAAAACTCAGAGCCTAGGGTACTAAGCCTTCTGTGTCTAACTTTCACTTAGTGATCTTATTTGCTTGCCTGGCTTTAATGAACCCCAAATCTATCTATCTATCTATCTACCTATCTATATCTCTGGCATAGACTTCTCTCCATGGGAGACTCTTATATCTAGCCCTAAAGGCATTTTTTTTTTTTTTTTTTTTTTTTTTGGTGCCAAATAGAAAAATTTATCTATTTCTGCAAGCATTAGACTGCCATCTGCTGGAGAGTTTTCAGAGGAAACAGAAACCTGGTAGACCACACTGATAGGAAAGCTCAAGGTGAAAAGGTATTTCTGATGACTGCACAACTGTCATTAGTAGCAAAATGTTCCACCATTTGGGTAGAAAACTCTATTTTCAGATTTTAAAGCTATCTAGGATGAAAAGATTTAAAAAGGCATACGGGTGTGACATACACACTCATCCTTTCTTAAAACATTTCTCCTGATTCTCAATCCCCAGCCCATCCTGTTCTGTTTCATTGTGTGTTTTGTATTTCAGAATTATTCTGCTAGCTTCAGAATTTTTCTTTGTTATCTTTGACACTTCTCCCCGCACCCCAGCTTGAATCTATCAGCAAATTCCTTTTATCTTCCCTTAAAAATATATTAGAATTTAGCCGTTTCCCAGCCCTTCTCCCCAGTTTGAGGCGGCCTGGTACGGCCCCAGCTCTCTCCAGGGGTGATCCCAGCTCCCTCTCCTCCTCTCCCGTCTGCCTGCCGCAGAGCAGCCAGGAGTATTCGTGTCTAATCTTGCTCCCACTGCGTTTCCTCACCACCCCACTTCCTTCAAAATCGTCTCCCGTCTTAGAGTAAAAACCGCTGTCCTGAAGCAGCCCACAAGCCCACAGCGTCCGTCCGTGTCTGTTCTGCCTTTCCAGACAGGCTCAGTGCTCTTGCTTCCTGTCAACCTGCCTGGAACACATCTGCACCAGGCACTCAGCCCGGATAGCCTTACATAGTGGGCTTGCTCTCTCTTTTTCTCGAGTCTTGTTTTTCAGATAATGCTAGCAGAGAAGTCTTCCTCAACTAAAACTAAAAAAACTAAAAACAAAAACAAAAACAAAAACACTATTCCTTCCCCCGAAATGCTCCCCCCACTGTTTATACTGTCTACAGCACTTATCATCTGCCCCCACGTTGTTCATCCATTTACCTCATTAGAATTTAACCTATGTGAGACTAAAGACTTCTTTCTTTTTCTCTTCTATATTTGTTTCTAAAACAGTGACAAATAGAGGGATCTTAGTAAATATTAATCAAATACATAAATGCAGGCATCCCTGAATCTGTGGATCCATCCTCAAAAGGCCTGAGATGGTCCTGAACAATAAAAATCTTTCAACTTCAAGATAAGAGCCTTTTTTTCAGACGTCTAGGAACTAATTTAAGTCTAATTTGAAAATTGCATTGACTTTGCAACCTTCAGAAGGGCGTTACTTTCCTGCAGAGATAGCAAGCCCGCGCCATCTAGTGGTCACGAAAGAAGCCCACGTTTGTGTTGCTTGAGTATTAAGTAAACTTTGTCCCTGATCCTTTGACAGAAGCCTTTGACAGAAATAATTATGATCGCCCATACGTCTTCAAGTGTGTTTTCCACAGAATATACTGAATTGGAAAACGTACGATTATTTTTTTCTAAATTACTTATAACTCGTTTTCACTTACAGTTTTTTTTTTTTTCCTGGATTCTGATTTTTTCCTCTTTTTGTTTTTCGCACTGTTTTGCACTCTTCTTTAAACTCTCACACGAAGGTTCTAAATTCAGGCGGTTTATATGGTAATACATATGACACCCGGGAGGGTAAATGTGTGAAGAAAAATCTGCTGAATGGCACAGTGCTCGCTTCTGACCATGCTTCCTGTTGAATCTTCATTGTTTCATATCCCCATTAGAGGAAGGAACTTGGAAGGATTTAACCTGTGTTTTTCAGAGTGGCGCAGATCATGATATGAAGGAACAGAGGCCCAGAGAGACATAATCATGAACAAGAAAGTCAGAAATGCAGTTTGTCTGTCATTCTAACATTTGAAAAGCTAGGTCTTTTGAGTACTTTAGTAAGATCCATAGTCCTCTCTGGGGGTCTTTGGCCTTTCAGATCCACACCGTTGAGGTGGAGCCGGAAAGTCTTTGTCCCCAGGGAAGCCCGAGCTTGGACCCCACAAGTGAGGAAACTTGGTAAGAATCCCCTAAGGAGATGAACTCCGCTTGTGGACCCTTCAGGTAGTGTCTGACCTTTTGCCATAGAAGGAGGCTGTCTGAGAAGCACCAGGCATTACAGTAGGACCAATAGAATGAGACAAAACAGGTTTCTTATCAACCTGAAGATACATTTTCCAGTGAGATTTTTTTTCTCAAAGTGGAAATCACAGCCTCAATTCCCATCAGTGGAACAGTCCGAGCAGAGACTAGGTGATGGCCTGGTGTGAGTTTGTTGAAATTGGTAAGATGCTCTGGTTTACTGAAAGATTTTTCTTTCTCCCTATCTAGGTTCAAGTCCCACCCCCTCCCTTATTATCCAGTTCATGTCCCAGTTGCTATTTTGGGGAGTGCAGCTTTCAGTGAAGCCAGCTCTCCTCTCCTGGCTCCCTTTCCTAACATTTAAGTGCAGATCAGCACTTGTTCCACGCTGCCTGTGATTCTTTTCCCCTCTGAGATACAATCCTGAGCTCCTCATGTTAGCGCTAAACTCCTCGAACATAGGAGGTTGTATCTTGTAGCCATCTGTGCCCACCCTCTCCTGCCAATGTTGTGTGGCCTTGTGGGGTAAGGGTTCAAGTTAATGGAAGGGGATGTGAAGGCCACCAGTAGCTGCCTCTGCTGGCCTCCTCGCCCAAGGTGCTCAACCTTCGTCTAAGTGTTTGGGGAAGCAGTTTTTAAGCTCAGTATTAGAGAAACCCAAATATTTGTTTAGATTTGTTCCCTTGTTGAAACTATAATCGATATTTTTATCTAACTGTACTAGTTTTCCTTTTGAATTGTGTCATTTCTTTTCATTTGCCTGCTATCCGTGGAGAGGTATCATGAGAGTCTAACAGTTGGTAGGATTGGTACTGATGTTTTTCCTTAGGTTGTAAGTATTTGCCATGGTATAATAATGTGCCTTTTTCTTTTTCCTTGAGAAAATGTGTAATTATGCATGGTAATATGGTATTTTGAATAGTAAGTTCTTAAGTCAAAATGTTCCACGTATCATTTCTTCTTAAAGAATTAAGTAGGTTTTATTTCTAAACTTTCACTTGCGAAGATGTATTTACATGACATAGCGTTGCATCCTAATGAAATGGTAATTTTAAAAAAGACAGATGCAAACAGGACTGGTGGGCAGAGTTTGCATGTACCCCTGTTGTAACTTCTTTAACAATCAGGTACTGTTGTTGGTTTTATTACTGAGACAGGCACAGTTCTTTTAAAATTATTTCATAGGCTGGCTAGTTTAAGGATTTCTTATAGTACTACCTGAAATTTACCAAGTTTCTCATCCATAGCATTTGCACCATCTAATATTTCTAGAGTATTCATAGTGATTCTTGGGAACTGGTGTGTTCTCTCATACAATGGCTGACAGATAATACTGAACACTTTGACCTGTAGCTAAAGAAATACTAGGTCCTTACAATTATGGCACAGATGTGCACATTTATGTTATGTTCATTTGTGTTTTTCAGAATATGCTGAATTTCTACACTGCAAAGGAAAAAAATTTACAGATTTTGATGAAGTTCGCCATGAGATAGAAGCAGAAACAGACCGAGTGACGGGAATGAATAAAGGCATTTCTCCTATACCCATTAACTTACGAGTTTATTCCCCCCATGGTAAGTAAACATTACAACTCCAAATTTTTCTCTTTAAATACTTTTACTAGTTTAATCAAGGTACATTGCTTATATGTAAGTTACATAGTGCTGAGTTTCTAGGATAATATTTGGGTCTTGCTATAAATGGTACATTTCAGAGGGCTCTGAGAGTATTTATGGAAAGTCAGGTGAGATGACTTTTTAAAAACTCAGAATCCAGGTAGGCATTCAGAATCAGAAAGTTTTGCGCTAATATCATTTGGAGAATTTTTTATGCCCGTATCTTGTATTCCGAGTACCTACTTTGAAAATAACAACCTACAATATGTTAACTATTGTTATGCTTCTATTATTTTGTTTTTAATTTTTTTCTTCCACAAAATAAAAAATAATTTTTAATGAACTTTCAGAATTTGAAAGGGGTATACATGAAAGCTTCCATTTTTATTATCTTCAATGTTTGCAGAAATATTAAAAATTAAAACTCCAAAAGTATTAGGGTTTTCTCTTATTGATTTCCTAGCAGCCCTGTATATTTCTGTTTATTTTCTTCCCGAGGAATCCACTGTGATGCTTTTGTTTTTCTTTCTGAGACAGGCTCTCTCACTCTGTAATTGAACTCATCATCTAGCTCAGGGTGGCCTCAAACTTGGCAGTTCTGCCTCAGCCTCCTGAGTGGTGGGATTATAGGTGTGTGCCGTCATGCCTGGCACAACTGTGATTTTTATCCCTACCCTACATACAGAAACTTACAAATTAGATCCCCAGTTGTACGGTAGGATATAACTTTTATTGTCACTAGATTTTCAGTGGGTCGGATTTTTGTTTCTAGTTCTGTGCCCAGGTTTTGCTTTTAGAGCAGAGCATGGATGATATAAGGTCGATTAGGACTCTTCAATGGTGCCATCACTGAGAGGAAGATAGCCAGGCTGTCACTGCCTTTGCCTGTACTGCCCACTCATGACACTCAGGGTCACATGGACAGCTAACAGCTTTGCAGTATGCTAAGTGGTTAACCTGCTATAAAGAACATGATGTCTTCAAATGAAGGCCAGATCCTACCCTGGGAATTTTTATACCATTTGAGGGTAGTGTACAAGACTGGCAGAAGCACATGCATTTATTGTTTGATGTTTTAATTAAAACCCTGTAGTTGTGACAGCTAGGGTATGACAGTCTCTGAGAAAACTGTTAGGCATGCTAATCAGTGCCTTTCAAATTATGTTAAAATGATCATTTGGCATAGCACAGTCATAAAAATGAAGTACACCACCCAAACCATTTTGTATCCTGCATTTTTTTATTCTACACACTTGGGTTGGAGTCATTTAGATGCACAGTGCATGAAGCTGAGCTAAGTGCCAGGTGAATCTGAAAAGTGCATGTCTTTTAGCATTGAAGGTGGAAGTAAGACTTTTGTACTGCTTTCTACACAGTGCTAAATCTCACCCTTATCGACCTACCCGGAATAACTAAAGTTCCTGTGGGAGATCAGCCGCCAGATATCGAGTATCAGATCAGAGAAATGATCATGCAGTTCATCACAAGGGAGAACTGTCTGATTTTGGCTGTGACCCCAGCCAACACTGATCTTGCAAATTCGGATGCACTGAAGCTCGCTAAAGAAGTTGATCCTCAAGGTGAGTGTGTGACCTTTAAGATGACAGGGCATTGTTTAAAAATGTCTAAGGCTTTGGTATCTCAAGCTCATTATTAACAAAATTCAACATGATTGTTGTTGGCAAACATTCTGTATTTAAGATACTGAAAGAAAAATAATCAGGGGAAATGGTTAGAATCAATATAAATAAATGACTAAGATTAAGTAATACAAGAGATCTAAGAAAATAGACATTTCTAGGCATTATGGCTTAGTTATTTTACAAAATCAACAAAAGAAAGTTCTAGCTGATTTAGTTCTTATGAGGTACCTCTCAAAAAAGTGGCTTTCTTGGGTTTGCTTGCTTCTAGTAAAGTAGGATGTTCTTTTATTTTTTTATTTTTATTTTGGTACCAGGGATCGGACTCATGATCTTGTATTTGTCAGGCCGGCACTTAAGCCGCTGAACTAAATCTCCAACATAATGTAGGCTGCTCTTTTGGTGCACATAAGACCTGGTGGAGGAATTGCCCCTTTGAGAGAGCACCCAGGCCCTCTCTGGGTGAGACTGTGTGGGCAGCCTAGTCGACCTCCTTGGTTTCAGTCTCAACCTAGCACCTGTCCCCAGGCCTGAAACCCTTTAAGCCAGGCCAAGGACAATCTTCCTTTCATCCTGTCCTGACCCCAACCAAATTGAGGCCTTTTCATGTACAGTTAATCTAGCAATTTACAAGTGAATCTTTTCAATTTTCGTGGCACATTATTAAAATATTCAAAACAAGTATACTACAATTTTAGTTTTTAAGTGTTATCAAGATTAGGCTATGTATGTATAAGTGTGTAAGATAGATGATTGTATTACTAAATTTTTATTGGATCATTGAACAGAATGCTTTGAATTGTCAATGGTCGAGTGTCTATCCACATTTTATGCTTTGATTTTGTAACTTGAACAACTATTTCTAAGAGGACAATATGTAATGTATCAACTAGCAATTTCTTAGTGCTATTTTTTTGAATTCTGTATTATTCTATCTTTTTTCTATTTTGATTTTTCTTTCTTTCTTTAAATAAAGAAATAAGTAAAATTTAAAAAAAGACTTAGGCTAAACATGGTGACATATGCCTGTAGTCCTGGTACTTGGGAGACAGAGGCAGGAGGATTGCCATGGTTTTGGGGCCAGCCTGGGTTACACAGTGAGTTCAAGACCAACTTCAACTGCATAGTGAGACCATACTGTTTACAGTGAGAAAATCCATATTGATGTGGGTGGGAGTTGGGATTATGCAGTGTTACTGATTGGTTTAAACACATGTTTACTAAAATGTGAGTTCTATACAGTAAGTAAAATACAGCCTGATAGAGTTTTCTTTGGATCTTTTTGAGAGGAACATAATTGCCAGTATTTGGTTAGCCACTTTGACTCAGAGTTATCTTTATTGCTATTTTTATAATAATTGATCTTGCTTAACTATCACAGTAACCTCTATTATAACTTTCTTTACTTTTAGAGGTGAGCTATTAAGACTTAAAGAAGTTGATGCACAGCTAGGACGTAAAAGATCTGCTTCCCAAACCTGTGTTCTTTCTTTATTTTTATTTTTATTTTTTATTATTTTGAAGGCAGTAAAATACAACAGAACAAGACAGAGCAAAGCCAAATGAGACAGTGTAGTGAAATTGGTACAGAAATTCACAACAGGGTACTGGGATAACAGCAATAGGTATCACAGTATATCTCATTAGCATCGCAATAGTTGTTCTTTCAATCACGTATAGCAAAATAAAATGAAGTACAGAACGTTATAGAACTTATCAAAACAGAATGTTGAATAGAGCAGTACCATTAATCAGAATAAAGCAAAACAGTAGTAAAAATATTTGCCTTCAAAGAGACGGTAGAAGGAAATCCCCCTTATTTGCTATATTGCATATGGTCAGCCTCCTAAGAGATGTCAGATCTCTGGTTCCCATTTGCTAAAGAGGGGAAGGGGAAGTGGGATGTTTGACTCTAAGCTCATGCACCGGTATACTCACTATTGCTTACGAAGAAGGCAGGCTGATTGCTTGGTTTCCCAGCGTTCTAAGTTCCAACATGGCGCAGATCTCCGGAGATGCTGGTGGTTCTCCCAACTGGGTGACTGCAGCCTGCTACACCACAAAAACCTGTGTTATTTCATCTAAATCATTTAATAAGGTTGTTACTTAAAGAGTGGTCTCTTAAAATAGAAAGAGCAACAGGCTCTTTGCAGGGGTGTTTGCAGGGATGTTACCGGACCACTGTGCTATCACCTGGACAAATTTTCTCCCCTATCCAACCTCTAGTATTATGCTGAAACTACAGTGAAAATATGAAAGAGCACTTTGAAATGATCACCATCCAAAAAAAAAAAAAAAAAAGTAAAACATTACATAATTCTGATGGCTTGGAGCTTGACTTTCAAACTGTGTAGGTATTTCCCTCGAAAGTTTGTTTAAAAATCCTTATTTACTCAATAAAAATAGCTTTCACAAACAGCACAAAAAAAGCTTGAGTTTTATCTGGTGACAAGTCTGTAACATTCTGCATATACTAGGAGAATTATCCCATTATGAAACTTTAAAAAATATATTGTATTAATATATCTGAGTATTATAATATTAATTATTTTACAGAAGCTTTTATTTTGAATATAATTACTTGCAAAATTTGTAATTTGCTTATACATGTAAATTTTCTCCTCAAGAATACAAGTTGTGATAAAAATATAGTGAGTATTTAAATTAAAAATAATTACAATAAAAGATGCATTTTAATTAATTCCCCTCAAAACACTCCTCCTCACTCTGAACATGTGTATCTAATTATTCTTGTCGCTTTCTGAAGTAGTTTTGAAGCCCTCTTTCACGAGGACTTGCACTTACTAATTACACTTTCAGGGCTGTCTCACGGTTGAAACAGTTGTCTTTGGTTATAGTTTTGACTTTGGAGTAGAACCAAAAGTTTTATGGTGCCAGACCCCTGGGATAAGGTGGGTGAGGACACAGTGTAATCTCCCTAAGAGCCTGCTTTTCCATTGGGTGACATTTGGCAGCAGCATTAACCATATTTTTGATCACACCTGGTAAAAATAAAACTTCTAAAGGAGAATCTCCAGAACTGCTTCAGAAAGTGGCACAAATGATGGGACAAATGTGTTCAAAGTAAAGGCGAATATTTTGAGGGGAGTTAATGGCCATCTGTCTTTTACTATTATGCATTTTAAGACAGTTTAAACACACACTACATTTTTAAATCAATCCTTGTGCATTCAGATATACTCAAGTCCTGCTTAGGTGAAAATGGCCTGCCTATGTCACACAGGCTAAATTTAGTACTAAGTAGTAACCACTACCTAAAATGTACAACCTCTAAAATATCCGTGTAAATATATACACCAGTGGATAAGATTTTAATTCAGATATATAATGATCCTCTGTGATTTAAATCATTCATTCTCTTTAGCCAAGAGCAATATGTCATGGAAAATGGACATGATATGGTGAGAACAGGCCACTTGCTTTCCAGCCAAATCAGTCCTGAAGACCTAAAGGGTAACAGACGTCACAGCTAGATTGCTCTCACTGTGTCATCTGGGTTCGGATGAAGTTAGTTGATAGGTTGATTAGTTAGGAGCTAGCTTTTTATCATACTGAGTTTGTTTATGATGGCTTAATATCCACCCATCCCGACAGATCCTAATGGTCATAAAATAAAGATTCTGTGTTTTCACTTCTGCTCTACATGGCTGGCCGTGTTACTGACATCTTCATGTTTTGCAGACACTATACCTTAGCTGAGTTCATCCTAAGGAGACACAATTTCTGTGTGGAAGGCAGGGGAGTCAGTGGTGGTCCTGATTTATTACTTGAGCAATGAGTTCATTACCCGTGAAGACTGTCACTGTGCCTTTTATCTTTGGGTCACAGCAGTATTTTAGCATTACCCATCAAGCTTGTCATCTGTAATAGAGGGCTGTTCAAAGGCCTCACCAGGGAGGCAAATGTGTCTGGAAATTCCTTTCATGGTGATTTATCTCACAGCAAACGAATTTCATTGCTAAATCTAACATGACTGGAGACCTTCCTGGAGTATAAAATCACCCCAAGAGGAATGTTAGACCTCTGGCTGGGAGACAGGGCATCGCTTGCTCTTGAGGTGAAATTTGTGAATTGGGCTAGAATTAACTACGAAGCTGGAGGCTGATGTCTGTTGTTTTATGCAGGTGTGTCCTTGCCTATTTTCTCAAGCTTTTGCATTTTGATGTCTTCTTCTTTAATCTGTGTACAGTTGAAGTCCCTGGGTGATGTAAACTGATAGTCATTGATCTTTGGAAATGCTACTCAGACGTCCACTTTTCTGTCTCGCCATAGGGAGGCTGGAGGTGCTGATAAATTGAACAGGACTTCCCAACACCCAGGATTTAGTCAGCACTCAGAATGGAATGAATGTTTTTTATAAACTGCAAATATGAGAGCAATCAGTGCAGAAAGACTGTATTTTAACTTCCACAACCTATTCTTTGTCCCTAATTTGGTTCCCATTTTAGCTTGAAAATTTTAGCTTATGTATTTGACCAGATGAAGAAAATTGAAGGTGTTAAATAATTGTATTGAGAATCTATAGTAATATTATTGGTTAATTGAATTAGTTAATCTGCATAAGGATATCTTATTCTTTAAGGGGAAATAATTTGGGTTTTGCTATTGTTCTCAGAACTTTATTTTAAAGAGACAAAAAATGATTTTATAGGTCTCACTCATGTTAAAAAAATAAACTCAAAAGCACAACGACTAAGATGTAAAACCATCTGATTGCTCTTATATTGGCAGTTTATAAAAATACTCATTCCATTCTGAGTGCTGACTAAATCAAACCATGGAAGCCATGCTTTGATTTATTATTATTATTATTATTATTATTTGGTTGTACTGGAGATAGAATTCAGGGCTTTCCCCCTGAGCTACAACTCCAACCTCTTTAAATTTAATGTTTTTAATTATGAGGTAGAATCTCACTA